GAGGTCACCAACCCCATATGCAAACTGTAAACACTTAGGGAACATAAAATCAAGTGTATGTGTGTAGAAGAGAGCTTGCTGCTGACACCCAGGGTCAGGTCACCCATGAAGTGGCCTGAGGCAGCCACCTCAGGTGACAGAATCCCATGGGAGGTGAGATCTCGCAGGAGTTTTGCAAGATCTTTCCAGAACAGCTGCCACGCGACTCTAGTAAGTGAGGGGCAGGGCCGGCACTTTCCTGTTTTGCCTCAGGCGGTGAAATGGGATGGACCAGCCCTGCTGCCAATCCTTCCCACATTTACTCCATGTGTTAAGATTCATGTGAGCAGCATCCCTCAACAGGACTAAGGACATCAATTACTTGTCTTAGAATAACCTCATTCCACATAAGCAGTTTCCCAATATGGGCACATAGGGGTGAATCTCCTAAGAGGAAAAAGTCCTATTTTGCCATGGAAGGAGGCAAGTGTATGATGGGAATAGCCAAAGAGTGGCCGGTTCCATCTGAACTGATGAAGATCCCTTGGTGTCTCCTTCTTCTTTGGAAGCGTACAGGTGGCTGATGGTGGCAGTTCTGGGATGGGGGATGGGGGATGTTAAATGGCAGTTGCAGGTGTTTGGTATGGTCAGCATGTTTGCTTGTTCTTTTTGGTATTGCTCCTTTTAAATGTGGTTTTAAGGTGGTCCATTGATATCAGTAAGATTCATACAACTTGCTTGTGCAGTGATCATGTCTATGCAGAACAGCAGCATCATAAAATACAGAGGGCGTCCAATTCCAGTTGGCAGTTCCAGGGATGTCCCGCACCACCACTCCACACAAAGTCCCTAACAAACTACAGTAAGCCTGCAACTTATGAGGAGATTATGTTCTGGGGATCACACCTAAAGCCAATATCGTGTATAGTCAAAACCCATTGAGTTCAATGGCAGATGGGATTGCCATAGTCATTTTTCCTAGAACCTCATCCCCTTTCCACCCCTTTTAAGTAGTAGTAGTAGTAGTAGTAGTAGTAGTAGTAGTAGTAGTTGTTCTTGTTGTTGTTTTGCCAGGTGCATAAAGCCAACTGCACACAAGTTTAAATGAGCACAAGTTGCAGCTTTACTGTACTGTAAACCCTTTATTTGTCTAAATTCTATATTACACCTGCAATCTACCTGGGAGTAAATTTCATTGAACTCAATGTTTTCTTTTGAGTAAACATGTGTGGAGTATTAATACTGTCAATGTGCTGTTTTTCAAAATTTCAGGCTGGTACTCAAAATGGACTTATTTCCTCCTAACATCTAAATGGATTATTTATGAAATACCTTTTCGGATTGCATATCCGTACACAACAGAAGGGAGGATGGAACCTGCTTTGTCCATTTTTATTCTATCTTCTATTTAAAAACAAAAAACCTCAATATATTGAAGAGATATGTGCTTGTGTGTTTCAGGGTTAAATTTTGGAACAAATCTGCATCTGAATAGCCTATTTAATTCTCTCTTATGTCCTCATGATGCACACTGAGTCATCCCAAAGCATCCTCCTCCTTCATGTGAGGATTTGTGCAACATATCTAAGACCCCAGGGAAATAAAGCAGTAAGATCAGGGTGAATCTATGACAGGTTCCCAGGAGCAGATGCAATGCAAAACTGCTAAAAGGCTCTGCCTGAGGCCATCTGCAATGCACAACTCCTACAACATCTAAGCCCATTTGGCAGGAAGCAACTGGAAGCCTATAAACAAGTGAGTTTTAATTGACCACCATCTGAATGAAGTGAGCTTCTTAAAAATGCACCTTGGCCATAGTTAGGAATGAAGAAAACTGTCGTAGACTGAGTCCTTAAGTAGGATGTGGACAGACTGGAATGTGACCAGGGAAGGATGATGTCACGGACTGGCTGGACACAGAGGAATGGTGGGAGGAACCAGCTGGGGAAGAAGGCTCAGAGCCCAGGGATTGTGGGACGACAATAAGTGGTCAGAGGGAGAAGAGCGAAAAGATCCTGTCAGGTGTCAAACAAAATAAACAACTGACTTTTAGAAGACATCTGAAGGCAGCCCTGTGTAGGGAGGTTTTTAATGTTAGGTGTTTTACTGTGCTTAATGTGTTTAATTTGTTGGAAGCCACTCAGAGTGGCTGAGGCAACCCAGTCAGATGGGAGGCATATAAATAAATCATTGTCATTGGAGGAGGTGTTGGAAGCTGAAGAGGTAACAGGGTTTAGTGAGCAGGGAGAGTCTGTGGCAGAGAGAAGTCAAGCATCAGAAACAGAGGCAGAAGTAGAAGACAGCTCAAGAGGCAGAGTTGGCTCAGGCTGGTGAAGAAGCCAGGTTCCCCCCCCAACCCCAATTGTTGCAACAAGCTTCCCTTCCCTCTGGTCTCCCAGAACCAGAAGAGGTATTAAGAGGAAGGAGCAGAGACAGGTGTGTCGGCATAGTTTCACTTTGCTTGGGAAGGAGCCAGGGAGGAAATGTAGGCAGCTGTGGACCTTCAGCCTCCACAACTGCCTCATAAAGGCAAGACCAACCAAGAAGAGTTGCAGTACTCATTAGGCCTGGCACTCCTGAGCCAGCCATGCTTCTTCTAATAAAGAGTTAACTTCACTTACCCTGTGTTGCTGGCTGGCTCCCTGACAGATGACAAATATGGTGAAGGACTGGGAGACCAAGTTCTATGAAGAATGGTTGAAAGAGTTGGGTATGTTTTGCATGGAAATGAGGTATAGGAGAGGTGATGGTAGGCATATTCAAGTAACCGAAGGATGATGGCCACCTGCTGTGATTTCTTCATGTGCGATTCCTGCATTGCATGGGGTTGGAAAGTACCCTGGGGTGGAGTGGGGTGGGGTGAAGGATCCTGGGCTAAACTGGCTCTTTGGGCAGGTTCCTGCCTTGTCTTCCCAGGTAAAGGACAATACACAGATGAGGACACATTAATAAAAGGAGTTGGAAGAATCTCAAGTAAGCTAGCTCAGTGTAAGGTATAGCTCCCCACAATATTATTCTAGGCCCTAGAACAATTGGAGAGAGGAGCAATTTACAATCTAGGGCAAAGGAAGAGAAAGGTCTTTTACCTGATGACTCTCTTCTGGCCCATCAGCCAGTTTTTCGATAGACTCCTTTCATAGATAGTTGAAAATACTTAAGACAACTGCTTAGAGATTAGCAGAGACTCTATGTGCTGTATAGTTCCACATGTTTATTTCTATTACTTTAGCTTGTGAAGCAGTGAGTGTATTGTTTGTATTTTAAGACCCTTGCGAACCATCTCTCAAGAGTTTTCTGTTGAAAAGCAGTTTATAAATAGCATGAATAAAGGCAGAAAAAGCATAATTGGTCAGTTTAAGACACCTGATTTTATATACAAATCCTGTATCTTTGTTGTTACTTGTAAGTGCAAGATTACATATTATTCGTATGATGGTTGCTGGAACAGAAATGTCACCTTTTCCTCTCATGCCTACTTTGGCAAATTCGGGGGAAATAGTTTTTTTCTTCTTCCAGTTAAAGGATGCCCCCTTCTGGAGAAAAGCAAGTGGTCCAGTAAGCTCAGAAATGCAAGAGGAAGAGAACATACCTTGTTTGTGATTAATCTTCAGGATGATTACTTGTATGAACTACAGCTCTTCTGTCAAACTAAGCTGGAACAGTTTGACAAAGCTGTATTAGACGCAATGGGAGCTGTAAAATACAATGCCAGTGATTCTTTAAAATGGAGATTGGCTGAGCTGTAAGTTCTGTTGGAAGGGAATTTCATGAGGGGAAGTGGGGGGGACGGACAGCCTTCTATTGTTATCATATGTAAAATGTAATCGTAAGTCCCTTTGGGATTTGCCATTTATTAAAATGGAGGGGCAGTGTGGCACCCTCATTCTTAATCTCTTCTAGGCATCAGCAACAGTGATTATGCTAGTCGCCTCCATACGTATCACAAACCAGCAAGCCATGTCAGACTGAATGCATGTACAACAGTAGCAACAATGCAGAACATTAGTGGTGGTAGCTCCCCTGCTCCCCACAGCAACAGATGCGTCTTGTGAGAAGCACTTCCTGCTACACTTCCAGGTATGTGGCTACCATTGCAAGGGGACATGTAGAAGTCCTTTCAAGTGAGGAAGGGTATGTAGCCAACAATCAAGTTTAAAAGCAGCCAGGTGTCAACCTTAATGCCGTGTCTGGTGCCCAACACCGAGAGCACAGAGAGCTCAACAAGACCACTGTCAGTGCAACATCCAGGGGTTATGTTCAGGTTGGAAAGTACTTTATAGGACATTAAAACATCATGATGTATGAAATGCAGTAGGGCTGGGAATTAAGTGTGAAACAGAGAAAACTAATAAAGTGTTGACACTTGCAAGTGTCCTGTGAAAATTTACATTTTGAATGGTAGTTACCACCAATAGTAGTGCATCAGGAAAGAAAACTTGAATCAGCAGCCCTCAATTTGTTGAGTAGAGGTTTGGAGCAGTTTTTGTAATTTAGTATTTTATTATCTTGTGTTTTTAAGCACTGAATGCATCCTTGAATATTGCAAAAGCAGCCCTAAAGTATTTGTTTGTAACAAACACTGCCTTAAAAAAGAAAAGGGGGGGAAACACTGTTCCAGCTGTTACCATTGGCCAAATATGTGATTTGTGTTTAAAGAAGGCAAAATAGCAAGTGGAATTAGAGTATATTATTTCCTGCAATGCTTGAGAGAGCAGTAATGCATGCATATATATTGTAATATAAAGCAAGTTGTGGCAATGTTTAGTTTTGCGACTCTATGGCTAAATGTCTGTGTGACAAGTTATTCCATAGTTTTTCTGAATCTTACAATGCCACATCAGACACAGTGGAAACTAATTTATCTGGATCTCCTGGAAAAGCATAATGAGTGGCCCAAAGGCTAGCAAAGTATTCATAAAGAGTGTTCAGGTCTGGCTAGGAGCTTACATATATAGAGGAACAAGTTTATCACCAGACAAATTATCTAAGTGGAGCTTAAGTCACAAAGAAATCAAATGACAAACTGTGGAAATAAGTCATTTATTCTTGGATGATACTGGTTTATTTAAAAAATGTTAGTACTGGGAATCTACAATACTGATAGTTCCACAAACACCTATTTTCACTCTGCCACTTAAGTAAAAAAAAGAAAGAAAATACCCAGGAAAGTGTACAACAGAAAACAATACACATTTAAGCTTGTCTGGTGTACTAACACACATTTGTCAGGTGCTGCTGTCTTGCAAGAGGGATGATACAAGCAGGGACTGCCGTGTACTCCATTTAATCCAGGTGTCCAGTCAAGCTAGGAACTTTGGCTTGGGTACCCAATGATGCTGTGCCTTAGCAACTGTGAAATGAAGAAGAGTTAAGTGGTGAAACACTCTTAGCCTTTAATTTTTATAGAACATGTTTAATGTTCAAAGTGGCCTTCTACATGCGAGAAAACAGCCTCTTGTCTGGACTAAAATACAATGCAAAAAACAAAAAACCCAACCATTCCTTTACTTCAGAACTTATCAGTGCAAACTGGAAAACTGAAACCAGAATAGGACAGCTGTCACTTTCTGCGTGCACTTGTTTTTCCTACAAGCCTCTCTTCCACTCTCCCGGAATCCTAAGGGTGCTGAAAATTCAATGTATTTTCTCATTTAAATCAGTGTACTTCTCTCATTTATATTAGCTTGGATAGAAAAACCGGGACGAATGAACAGTTATGGTTCAGTCACAGTTGAGAACAGCCTAGATTGTGAAGGCTTGGAATCTCACAAAAGTTGCCAATGTGGACTTAAATTTGCACAATTTACTCCAAAAGTCATTTTGGGGCACTTCACGGAATTCTGAATGGTTCTCTTGGAAAATGAGGTAGCGTTGGGGAGGGAGGTGCGGATATGCTCCAAGAGCAGCAATTCCCCCGTTTGACCTTTTGAACTTTAACAGACACTGCCGTGATATTTCTTGGCAGTCATGAAGGCTGCAGGCATGGACTGCACACAGCCCTGGCCCACATCCACAGGACTGTACAGCTTGGTGTTCTCATACGCTACTTGATATGAAACATGAACTGCTGTTAGTGCAGTATAAAGAATATATGCATGCAAAAAGAACTGGCTCCTAGCTTAGCTCATAAATGAAGTCTGCTTCAGTTGACAATTACTAAGAGTTCAGAGCTTTGCAAAGCTTTTGGACTCAGGAGAATATCTAGAGAAGCAAGAGCCATAACAAGACTGAATAATATTCATCAAGCCAGGGAACTGTATAACTGGATAAAAAGAATACCATAGTGGCCACAGCAATCCTGGTCTTTGAGGCTTCTTATTTTATTAATCTTAGACAAAAGTCATGAACTCTGAAAGAAGTGCCAAAGTGTGAGAAGGATTGCAAACTATTTGTTTAGCACCTCCCTCCACTGAGCTTCAGAATAAAATTTTCTTCCAGCTTCCAAGTGAACACAATTCTCTAGCCTGTAAATTCAAGGATTTACAGCCCTAGCTCAAGATTCCAATCATTATGAGGTAGGCATGAATGGAAAAAGAGAGGTCTACTTTCTCAAGCAGTCCCCGGACCATGCAATCATCATCCGAGGCTCTGCTTTGTGTGCCCCTACCATGGGAGGTCCAGAGGGTGGAAATATGAGAATGGGCCTTTTCAGTGGTGGCTCCCCAATTGTGGAATGCCATCCCAAAGCACCACTGTTACATAGCTTAAGTGCCAGACAAAAACCATCTTTCGTCAGGCCTTTGGCTTTTAATTATCTATGGTCCTTTTATATGGATGGAATGTATTAATCTAGTTTTTAAAAACTGACTTGTCTTTTAGATTGTTTTTTAATGCTAGTTTTAATATGTGTTTGCACTTATATGTTTAAAAGAACTGCAAGTGGTTTCTAGTTGTCTTGGCAAAAAAGTGATCAATAAATTTAATTAATAATACCACTTTGAAAGTAGTACAGAAGTTTGGCTTTAAGGTTTTAAACACATACAAAAATAGTAGAACACCCTCCTTAGTCCCCAACGTGGGCCTCTCCAGATATTGCTGGTCTCTGAACTCCCTTCAACCCCAATCAGTGCACAGAGATTATGGTAATTGTAGTCCAAAACATCTGGAAAGCACCAGAAGACTGTCCTACAGCATCATGTTTGCAGTTGCTGAATTTTGCACACTTAAATTTTGCACGCATCTTCTGCAAAGAAGGTCGCCATTAACCCAGCCAATCTCATAAACATCTAGAAATGAGAAATCTACGTTTGAAGTCTTACTGAAGTTGTTCCAAGTCTATTGGGCAAGGATGGGGAAGCTTTTTTGCTCAGATAAAGGGCCAGATCTTTATCAGAATTGCCCTCTCAGTCCAAATATGACAAGTGGGTGTGGCTGCCAACCAGTCAACACCCTTATGGTGTTCCCAAACATGCACCACTGCTGTGTGAAGAGCAAGAAAAAAATATTTCCAGCGCTTCACATAGCAGCACCAGGCACTTGGGAACCCCACGAGTTTCCTTCTCACCCTTCCATTGGGGAGGGGTGGGATGACAATGAAGCTTTCTTTCTGTCCTTCAGCTCTGACAAAGGAGGGAAAGCAATCTCTCCACGCCCCCTGCCCCCAAGCAGAAAGGAAAGCAACATAACAAGCTATAACATGTGCATAACATTATGCACCTCGTATAATGGATGGAACACTTTTAATGACTTGTTCACACATAATGCCAAGTTTGACTTGCGATCCTAGCTCTTGGAAAGGAAGTGCCAACCATGATTTGCCAGTTTTTATGCAACAACATAATACAGTTTGCTCCAAGCAGAAAATAGCAAATTGAATCGAAGAGCCAGGGTGGATGAAGAGAAGGGATGCTCAAGGATAAGGCTCCTTCCTGCATTACCAAATGTGGGTCACCCAGGAGGTATTTGGACCCTTGGTGAAGTTCACCAGGCTGCCCACTACTCCATACCCCATTTCATGAATTGGGGAAATGTTCATTGGAAGTGCAAAATGACCACCTTTCATTCCTGTGCATTCAGCACCAAGCTTACCCAGCTCTCACCTGGTGTTGGCAGCAAGCCCGGTCTGCCACTAAGCAGTGGCCGCTTTGCAGGCAGATGTGGAGATGGAGGTAGGTGGACTGGTCTTTTAGCAGACTTTATCAGAAGTGGCGGAGGGTTGCCCTTTGGGCCAGCCAGCCCTGTTTGGAAAGAGGGAAGAAGAAAGCATGGAATGGGGGGAAATGGCCAACATTTCTTTATTAATTGGTTACTGAACCAATACCCTAGAAATTATTATTTAATTTCACTATGGTTGCTATCCTGCCTTTCCACAAATATGCATCCTATGCTGCTAACATATATCAATGATTAGTATGTAATAATATACCAAGAAGTTGCACAACTAGCAGCTAAGAAGCAGGGTAAGATAGAAACAGCAGCCGAGTATAAAGCACCTACTATTACCTACCACCAGAACATAATCAACTCAACAAGCAGTAGGCCTGTCTTAATAAATGTTTTCACTTAATGGTCAGTGGTCAGAAATGGCACCAACCAAGGTTCTCTAGGAAAGAAGTTCCACAGTGTAGGTGCAACCACTGAAAAGGCCCTCTCTCGTTTGCCTGCCCAACTTGCCTCTGGTGCTAGCAGATGCAGAGAACAGCCTCTGCTGATTAACTACAATATCTGGGCATGCTCATATTGAAGGAGGTAGTTATCTTCCAGTAGGCCTTATCCAAAGGATTTTTTGTTTTTAAAGAAATTGATTCAAAGAGTGATTTTACACTGCATATGTAACATGTATGTATGTACAATGCATATTTTAACATTTCTGGTGGACCAATTAAGTTTCACTGTTAGTTACCCTGGGTTTCTCATCTCACCTCAGGTCTTATCCCAGAGTTAACCATCAACCACACCCACCCTTCTATTTCCATTTCCCCCTGCTTCACTGTAAATCTTTAATAAAACATCAATACAATTAACAGGGTTACCAACCTGGTGTGGGAAGAAGACCTGTCAATGGTCTTTCACCCAACAAAGCTGGCTTAGCTGAAGATACAGATGACTGGCCTAACACAGAATTCCGGCCAGGAGTTGGAAGAAGAGGTGGGGGTTTGCTTAGAGTCTGGGGGAGAGCACTAGTGCTTGGCCGGACACTTGCTGGATACACCGTGTCTTCAGCTGCAACAGCTAAAGGGTCTGTTTCTGCAACAAAGCCTGGTTTAGGAGAACCAAGAGTTAGCAAGCAACACGCAATGATTAGTGAACACCCGATTTATTAAAAGCAAAGACTGTAGTTTGCCTCTGATTTATGGGAATAACACACTCTTTAACTACCTAGTTTTTTCCCTCAGGGAAATACCTCAGATCTTTTAAAGACACCTCAAGTTAAGATTTACAGATGTAAGTTTTATTTATTTTAAGGACTGAGCTTCTGAACTCTTCAGTTTGCAGAACATAATAAAGGGGTCGGGGGTCTGCCATTGTTTTCGCGAATATTAAGGTTTCACATTTTAATTTAATAACTTGTTATAAGTGTAATGTCTTTTTGCCACGTGAAATGTGATGGTTACCAGAGGGTGGCAACGAACAATGGAAGTGCTTGCTCTTTAAGACTGTTTTTCCACACTGGCCTGGGGCTGTTCCATGGAATACATCTTGCCACCCCATAATGTGGTCGCTGCTCCTTAAGTAGCTTAATTCCTGCCTTCCATCATTAAGAACTTAGCAAGCAACAGTAAAACCCCTGCCACACGATAAAAACACGCAGTTTCCCCCCGCTAGTGTATGAATGGGACTTTTAAAAACTGTCTTCTTGCACAGCAGTAACAACATGCTTTGAAGGCCTAGCTGGAAAAAAGGGTCACTGTGTAAAGAAGAGCTGTGTGGATGCGTGTCGTGTGATGTACATGTGAGAGTCTGGATTCATTTTAACCACCAACACATACCCAGGCAAGACCTGCTGGAAATATTACCCACAAATACCACATTATAAAACTATGTCTACAAAGCCAAAAAAAGGGCAAGGTAGTTTTAAGAAGTGTTCACATTCCAGTAAGAAGTAAGATTTTATGGCTTGGGGATGGGGTAGGATTAACCTTTACATTCCATATTTTGATTATTTTTAATTAAGTTTTAACCAAGAGCCAGTTTTAAAATAGTGGGATTTATAGGGACATTCTTGGGGAACAGGTGGGAAAGTAATGAATACCTTCAAGCTTATTTCTCCTGGTCTTCAGGAAGTCACTTATTGAGTTCAATTCTTCCATATACAAATGTTTTCCCTCACTTAACAGAAAGAGGAGATGTCTAATGCCTAGAGGCACATGGTAACTGTCATAGAGATCCCGCTCTAGGTAGTCATTCGCCAGATCAGCTGCTTTGTGTGAAATCTCTGTGCGTTCCTGTTGTTCGCGCTCAGGACAAATTTTCTCAAACGCCTTAGCTATCAGAGCCAATGCATCCTCCATGGGCATATTACGGTGTACTATAGAGAAGAGAGATACCTTGCTTTTTAAAAGGTTACATCAAGACAAAACCAAACACAAAACTGCTGTGTTCCTGCACCATTATTCTGAAGTTCAAAGTCAACGTCTGTTTCAATACGAGCAAATTTATATTTTTAACTGAATGTTATATGTTCATGGTTCAACACAAACATGCTCAGTTCTATTAAGTGTAATGTGTACATTTAACTATTGAGATCTCATTTGTGTGTTCATTTAAAGTAAGTTAATTTCATGATTGGAACAATTTTACAAAAACTTTTCTAAATAGAAGAACAGTTCTAAGAAATTAGTGTTGAAGGTGGTTTTGTTTGCTTTTTAAGATCCAGAGAAAATACCCAATCCAATGGTTTACTTTACTGTTTCAGACAGAAGGCAAAATCTGAGAAGTGTAAAAAAACACCCTCCAGTAAGATGAAATAAATTTTGCTCAGTGTAGAAAAGGTTTACAACTGTATGAATATTTAATAAATGTAAAAAGTGTTCTTCAGCACATTCAGCAGTTTTGTGAAGCAGTATTAATTTTCAGTTAGAAGTATTATTCCAACTTGTGACATCTTTTAATATTGTATGTGTGTTGAGGAGATCTAGATAGCATATTGTGAATGGGGACCGTTTCTGAATGAATCTAAACTTACTTTTGATAGACTGATGAAGCATGATTACGGTGCAAGAGGAAAGTGTTACATTAGATGGTTCAACAAGAACACAGAATGGGGAACCATCATTTTTAACTTCTTGTAGGGCACGTGTAAGACCTGATTCAGATGTAAGGTATATCATTTCCACAACAAGGCCATGATCCTGCAACCGATGGCCTATGGCTGTTGAATATTCCCTTGAAGGAAAAAAAGAAGAAGCAGGTTATTTTACAAATAATTCCTCCCCAAATATTAGTGCCAGTGTTCTAGTTGCTGCCATTATGTGTGCACGGCGAAGACTCAAGAGTACCAGACTTGTTATGTCAACAGCAGTCCTTTGGGATTCAGGCAACCCACTGGTACTGGCAAGAGTGAGCAGATCTGGTTTGGATGGTAGACTTAAACAATAACTGAGCAGTTGTTTATGCAAATGGAAGCTTCAGTGTGAACAAGGCCTATCCCAACTGGAGGGTATATACAGAAGTTAGGGTTGGAAGCTATAATTGAATGTTATGAGTGTCTGACAACATATTATGATTTTCAATTATACTTTTTAACTATATGCTCTATACTGACATACACTTGTTGGTGAGGCAATATTCTTCTTTTCATTTAGTTTTCCCTTATGGGAAACACAGACTTCTTTATCATACCAAACTGAATAGCAAAGCCTTTGGTTGCCTGAGGAATCCATGCAAGCAAGGCTGTGTAGAGTCCTGGACTGGGATACATGGGTTCAATTGTCCAGTTACTGTTAAGCTGCAAAACCGCTTGGCGTCAAGGAACATTTGGACAAAATACACTTAAGTGTGGACTCATGAACACCTGTAAAATAGGAATTTGTGGGGTTTGGAAACAGGTGTGTATGGAAATTTGTTTATCACTGTGTGATTAATTGCACCATAATTGATAATGAGTATGTGAAGACATGTCAACTTTATATTCTGTTATTTTAAATGTATTTTTGAATCCAAATTGGTAGGACAGCAAGAATTAAATATCAAAGTAATTAGGAAAATTACCACCTGGTTACGGCATTACATGTATTCTTTGACTTTTACTAGCACTTTATAATAAAAAAAAACATCTTTCGTGTTATGAAATCATGGCAATGCAACTAGGTTCCCAATCTGGGTCATTCCGTGCTAAATATGGACAGGAAATCAATTTCAAAGGCTTTAATTTTACAACCAAGATAAAAAGATAAAATCACGTGGGCAAAATACCCAAGTTTATCCAGTTAGATGGCACTGAGTGCCAGCCAGGGTGATATAATGTGATTAACTATGGGTCCCCCAGCCTTTGTAATATACGTTGGTTCACATACCTGGAGCTTCAGCAATATAAAATATAGGTACTATGCACAGAACACGCACTGTGATGTTAAAAGTCTGTGTCCATGAAGTGTAAAATGAATTGCCAATGTTGAAATTAATAGAAAGTACAATATTAGAGAGCTTTAAAGACATGCATTAACCTCAGCTACCTGAGAAAGTATGAACAGTTGCTAACTAACATTTTATTACATTTGGGCAAATGTTTTAGTAAGTGTTACTTTGCAATGACTCTTCTGGATTTAAAAAGGCAGGCGGTCATTCAACCAGAAAGAAAGGTGCTCGTATTCTGAAGATTGTAGGAAGAGGTCTAACGAGAGACCCAAATGATTGATATCTCCAATATATCCCGCTCTATGGACTCCCGAGATCTGCTAGTGATATTAGGAGCCCAATGGATGAAAGGCAGAAATGTATTCAACATTTCCATGTGCTACTGGATGGGAACTTAGAAGAGGTCATGGAGATAGCTTACTAAAGCAAAAAATCTAATACAACCACCCTATATTTTTCTTATTAGTATAATATCCAAGGGAAAGTTAAGAATATTTAAGGCATGCTTAAACATCATCACGCAGATTCAATATACTTTCAGTGAATAAGGTGTTCAAATTATGCTGGTAACTCTTTTAGTGAAAGCCTACAGCTAACTGTGGCACTTTAAAAGAGATGGCCATTACTTTTTTGACTCAAAATATCCTTGGCCATTATGTAGAGAATCAGAAAATAGTTTTCAGTGGGGTGGTTTAAGAGCAAATTAAGAAGCTCTTGATAATATTATAACAGACTGAAGAGTCAGGTTGGAATGACAAAGTGAGAAAGACTTGGTTGAAATACCATGGAAATTTCATTGCTTAGAAGCAGAAGCATATTTGTCTTGCACTGATAGACACCCTTTGTATCAGAAAATATTCCGGGCAGGGACCACACCAAAATGTTAAAAACAATGAAAGGTATTAACAAGTAGTTGACTACAAGACTATAAATATGTATTTTGTTTTAAGAAGAATATAAAAGAAGTAAAAGCTATTTTAAGAAGCAACACAGAATGTTAAATATCAGGTGCAGATATGCTTATTGAAGTTCCTAGCATTCCAAGTCGGCTTACGTAAACACTCAGTACTCAATAACAGTACAATCTAATCGATTAAACAATCTTACAGGCTGCCAGACTACCAACTTTATGAATACCCACAGTCCTGTAAACCTAGAGTATGCTTCGTGAACAAGATTAATTCAGCTTAGTTTGTCATTCAAACGTTAATCTTAAAAAGTGTTGAAATATTGAGAAAGTGTGTTGCTGTTTTTTAAAGTCTAATTACCAGCACTACATTATGGGAAGATCAAATTTATGTTTGGGCAATGAAGGAAAAGGTGGGTTTATAAATGGAAATGTTAAGATTGCAGAATCTCTTAATGTAAGCACTTATGCCTCAAAGCGGTTTACAAAAAGATACAAGAAAATCGGGGTGGGGGTGGGGAATACATATATGCAAACTGCTAGTTGATGGATAAAGACTGTATTTACCGTGATACAAATTAACAACACTGCAACACTGTTTAAAGCGACCTTCCTGCTAAGTATAAACTGGTAATCAAAAGTAACAGCTTCAAGAAGCACACCAGTTAAGACCCAAACTGCACCGGATCATAGCAGGCCCACATCTTTAAATGCAGGTCTGCCACACTATACAAATCAGGGGTTTTTTGGGGGGGGGTTGTTTAAAGGGCACAAAGA